CTGTACAGGTCAAGCCTGAGTGCCAGTCGGTTTGTGCTCTGTGACATGACAGTGAGTGAGTTGGCAATAGAGCACAAACAGACTGGGACCCAGGCTAGTGTAAGTCATGTGATGTTATGCTTGCAGGTTGCCATGGCGTTGAGTTTATACAATTTTGTTGTTGATAATGTACAGGTCCACGCCCCACCAAACTCTTGCACAAAATATCATTGTATTATTATATCATAAATAAAAGTTTTAACTTGCAATCTTATTCACCTTTTTACCGTTTGGTTTGTGCACGTGTCTTTAGCCTTTAGGAGGTAAGCTTTAGGAGGAAGCCTTTAGGGGGTATCCTTTAGAAGGTAGGCTTTAGGAGGTAGGCTTTAGGAGGTAGGCTTTAGGAGGTAGGCTTTAGGAGGTAGGCTTTAGGAGGTAGCCTTTAGGAGGTAGGCTTTAGGAGGTAGGCTTTAGGAGGTAGGCTTTAGGAGGTATCCTTTAGGAGGTAGGCTTTAGGAGGTAGCCTTTAGGAGGTAGGCTTTAGGAGGTAGCCTTTAGGAGGTAGGCTTTAGGAGGTAGGCTTTAGGAGGTAGGCTTTAGGAGGTATCCTTTAGGAGGTAGGCTTTAGGAGGTAGGCTTTAGGAGGTATCCTTTAGGAGGTAGGCTTTAGGAGGTATCCTTTAGAAGGTAGCCTTTAGGAGGTAGCCTTTAGGAGGTAGGCTTTAGGAGGTATCCTTTAGGAGGTAGGCTTTAGGAGGTAGGCTTTAGGAGGTAGGCTTTAGGAGGTATCCTTTAGGAGGTAGGCTTTAGGAGGTAGCTTTAGGAGGTAGGCTTTAGGAGGTAGGCTTTAGGAGGTAGGCTTTAGGAGGTATCCTTTAGGAGGTAGGCTTTAGGAGGTATCCTTTAGGAGGTAGCCTTTAGGAGGTATCCTTTAGAAGGTAGCCTTTAGGAGGTAGCCTTTAGGAGGTAGGCTTTAGGAGGTATCCTTTAGGAGGTAGGCTTTAGGAGGTAGGCTTTAGGAGGTAGGCTTTAGGAGGTATCCTTTAGGAGGTAGGCTTTAGGAGGTATCCTTTAGGAGGTATCCTTTAGGAGGTAGGCTTTAGGAGGTATCCTTTAGGAGGTATCCTTTAGGAGGTAGGCTTTAGGAGGTAGGCTTTAGGAGGTAGGCTTTAGGAGGTATCCTTTAGGAGGTAGGCTTTAGGAGGTAGGCTTTAGGAGGTAGGCTTAGGAGGTATCCTTTAGGAGGTAGGCTTTAGGAGGTAGGTTTAGGAGGTATCCTTTAGGAGTAGGCTTAGGAGGTATCCTTTAGGAGGTAGCCCTTTAGGAGGTATCCTTTAGAAGTAGGCTTTAGGAGTGTAGCCTTAGGAGGTAGCTTAGGAGGTATCCTTTAGGAGGTAGGCTTTAGGAGGTAGGCTTTTAGGAGGTAGGCTTTAGGAGGATATCCTTTAGGAGGTGGCTTTAGGAGGTATCCTTTAGGAGGTATCCTTTAGGAGGTAGGCTTTAGGAGGTATCCTTTAGGAGGTATCCTTTAGGAGGTAGGCTTAGGAGGTAGGCTTTAGGAGGTAGGCTTTAGGAGGATCCTTTAGGAGTAGGCTTTAGGAGGTAGGCTTAGGAGGTATCCTTAGGAGGTAGGCTTTAGGAGGTATCCTTTAGGAGGTAGGCTTTAGGAGGTGGCTTTAGGAGGTATCCTTTAGGAGGGTAGGCTTTAGGAGGTTTTCCTTTAGGAGGTAGGCTTTAGGAGGTAGGCTTTAGGAGGTATCCTTTAGGAGGTAGGCTTTAGGAGGTATCCTTTAGGAGGTAGGCTTTAGGAGGTATCCTTTAGGAGGTAGGCTTTAGGAGGTATCCTTTAGGAGGTAGCCTTTAGGAGGTAGGCTTTAGGAGGTATCCTTTAGGAGGTAGGCTTTAGGAGGTACCCTTTAGGAGGTCCTTTAGGAGGTAGGCTTTAGGAGGTATCCTTTAGGAGGTAGGGACTTTAGGGGGTAGGCTTTAGGATGTATCCTTTAGGAGGTAGGCTTTAGGAGGTATCCTTTAGGAGGTAGGCTTTAGGAGGTATCCTTAGGGAGGTATCCTTTAGGAGGTAGGCTTTAGGAGGTATCCTTTAGGAGGTTAGGCTTTAGGAGGTAGGTTTTAGGAGGTAGGCTTTAGGAGGTATTTTAGGAGGTAGCCTTTAGGGGGTGCTTTAGGAGGTATCCTTTAGGAGGTAGGCTTTAGGAGTATCCTTTAGGAGGTAGCCTTTAGGGGGTAGGCTTTAGGAGGTATCCTTTAGGACGTAGGCTTTAGGAGGTAGGCTTTAGGAGGTATCCTTTAGGAGGTAGGCTATAGGAGGTCTCCTTTAGGAGGTAGGCGTTAGGAGGTAGGCTTTAGGAGGTATCCTTTAGGAGGTAGGCTATAGGAGGTATCCTTAGGAGGTAGGCTTTAGGAGGTATCCTTTAGGAGGTAGGCTTAGGAGGTAGGCTTTAGGAGGTATCCTTTAGGAGGTAGGCTTTAGGATGGTATCCTTTTAGGAGGTATCCTTTAGGAGGTAGGTTTTAGGGAGGTATCCTTTAGGAGGTAGCCTTTAGGAGGTATCCTGTAGGAGGTAGGCTTTAGGAGGTATCCTTTAGGAGGTAGCCTTTAGGGGGTAGGCTTTAGGAGGTAATCCTTTAGGACGTAGGCTTTAGGAGGTAGGCTTTAGGAGGTATCCTTTAGGAGGTAGGCTTTAGGAGGTATCCTTTAGGAGGTATGGCTTTAGGAGGTAGGCTTTAGGAGGTAGCCTTTAGGAGGTAGCTTTAGGAGGTATCCTTTAGGAGGTATCCTTTAGGGAGGTAGGCTCTAGGAGGTATCCTTTAGGAGGTAGGCTTTAGGAGGTAGGCTTTAGGAGGTATCCTTTAGGAGGTAGGCTTTAGGAGGTATCCTTTAGGAGGTAGGCTTTAGGAGGTAGGCTTTAGGAGGTATCCTTTAGGAGGTAGGCTTTAGGAGGTATCCTTTAGGAGGTAGGCTTTAGGAGGTAGGCTTTAGGAGGTAGGCTTTAGGAGGTATCCTTTAGGAGGTATCCTTTAGGAGGTAGGCTTTAGGAGGTATCCTTTAGGAGGTAGGCTTTAGGAGGTAGGTTTTAGGAGGTAGGCTTTAGGAGGTATCCTTTAGGAGGTAGCCTTTAGGGGGTAGGCTTTAGGAGGTATCCTTTAGGAGGTAGGCTTTAGGAGGTATCCTTTAGGAGGTAGCCTTTAGGGGGTAGGCTTTAGGAGGTATCCTTTAGGACGTAGGCTTTAGGAGGTAGGCTTTAGGAGGTATCCTTAGGAGGTAGGCTATAGGAGGTATCCTTTAGAGGAGGGTAGGGCTTTAGGAGGTAGGCTTTAGGAGATAGGCTTTAGGAGGTATCCTTTAGGAGGTAGGCTATAGGAGGTATCCTTTAGGAGGTAGGCTTTAGGAGGTATCCTTTAGGAGGTAGGCTTTAGGAGGTAGGCTTTAGGAGGTATCCTTTAGGAGGTAGGCTATAGGAGGTATCCTTTAGGAGGTAGGCTTTAGGAGGTATCCTTTAGGAGGTAGGCTTTAGGAGGTAGGCTTTAGGAGGTATCCTTTAGGAGGTAGGCTTTAGGAGGTATCCTTTAGGAGGTAGGCTTAGGAGTAGGCTTTAGGAGGTATCCTTTAGGAGGTATCCTTTAGGAGGTAGACTTTAGGAGGTAGACTTTAGGAGGTATCCTTTAGGAGGTAGGCTTTAGGAGGTAGGTTTTAGGAGGTATCCTTTAGGAGGTAGCCTTTAGGAGGTATCCTTTAGGAGGTAGGCTTTAGGAGGTATCCTTTAGGAGGTAGCATTTAGGGGGTAGGCTTTAGGAGGTATCCTTTAGGACGTAGGCTTTAGGAGGTAGGCTTTAGGAGGTATCCTTTAGGAGGTAGGCTTTAGGAGGTATCCTTTAGGAGGTAGGCTTTAGGAGGTATCCTTTAGGAGGTAGGCTTTAGGAGGTAGGCTTTAGGAGGTAGCCTTTAGGAGGTAGGTTTTAGGAGGTAGGCTTTAGGAGGTATCCTTTAGGAGGTAGCCTTTAGGGGGTAGGCTTTAGGAGGTATCCTTTAGGAGGTAGGCTTTAGGAGGTATCCTTTAGGAGGTAGCCTTTAGGGGGTAGGCTTTAGGAGGTATCCTTTAGGACGTAGGCTTTAGGAGGTAGGCTTTAGGAGGTATCCTTTAGGAGG